CACACACACACACACACACACACACCCTCTGCCTAGGAGGCTTGCCAAATAAGAAAAATCTCAACTTTCTGAATGGCAAGGTAATGCTGAAGTGGTTGGGTCCTACTTTTCTCCTGGCTTCTTTATCATTTCCTTCTGCTCCCTGGTAACCTACAGACCTTTGCTAGTGGTTAGTGGCCAGAAACATTTTAGAATATTCCAGGATGATCCTGACACTAGTAGTTCTAATGCCTGCAAGGATTACTGTTGCAACCTGAGAAAGAAGGCAGAGAGGAAATGGCAGCACTAAACAGAGGTGACTGGTATTTAACAAGACGAAAGTTACTTTGGTTTAAAAGAGTGTCTGCCCTCCGCAGCCCCTGAGTCCTTCCAAGGATGGGGTGTCAGAGAGGGTTTTTTCCCTGCTTAACAGATAGGGAAACTGAGGCAGGGCACATGCACTGAGCAACAGGAGGCATTGGGGATTCTGGCTGGTTCCTTCTGGGGTGGAGATAGCATCTTTCTCGTTCTAGGGCTTTTCTTCCAGAACACTTGGGAGGATACTTTGGAGCTAAGTGTGGCTTCTGGGAGGGTTGGATTTTGCTCAGGCATCTCCCCTAACTTAATGTTCTTTGGTCCAGCCTGCTTGGGGCCTAGTGAGGTAGTTTTGATTGCAGAATGAGCTGCCTTGTGGGGAAAGGGCTAGCTTCCCACCCTGGGGCTAACCATTGTTCACCAGCTTCCTGTGTCCCCCAGCAGAGGTGGAGGTGCCTGTGCAAGAGCCTCTCAACTCCCACTTCCCTTCACTTCCTACTTCCCTTCACTGCCCACTGCAGGGCTCAGGCAGAGCCATTGGCCTGCTCACTGCCATGGTATAGGAATCTATACTCCTAGGCTTTCAGAGTCCCTAGGACAGCCCTTGAAGGCCAAAAGGAGTGGGCTGGGAGAGTAGATCTTTATAATATCTGGGATGAGAAGGGTCCCAGGACTACCTGGCCAAGTCTTCTGACTTTCCTGAAGGGGAAACTGAGGACTGGGATAGGCAGTGACTTGCTTAAGGCCACATGAGGGGTCAAGGACAAAGGTAGGATCTCCCATCAGGCTCCAGGTCAGCTGTTCTTCCCACAGTCCACACTTGGGCCTAGCCCTCAGCATAGCTCAGTGCACATCAGCCCAGGCTCCTTCCTGTCTGCGTCTCCCCAGCTGGGCCTGAGTTTAACTAGAAGAGGCCCCCACATTTCCTGTAAGAGCTCAGGTTTTAAAGCTGAGGTTCAGAGAGGGAAAGTAATTTTTCCAAAGTCACACACTTGCAAATGACAGTCTGAGCTGGAACCCAAGTCTCTCCTTTCCAGGTAAAGCCCTTCCTCATGCTAACCTGATGTTCACAGGCAAAAAGACACATGTTCGTTAGCTCCAATTCCCAGAGTCCCAATTCCCACACACAGAAGTGTGATTGGCCTTGTGTTGGTTTGTATATGGGCCTCTCTTAGGACACTTGTGTTCCTCCTGTTTTGCAGGAGTGGGGGTAGTATCTAAAAAACTTTGGTGAGAGGAGGCTGAGATAGTACCTGGTGGGATATGGACTAGGTAGCTGGATGCACAGAAGCAGAAGCCCCCCACTAGGCCTCCTGCCCATCTCTACTGAGACTTTGGGGACTCAGAAGGCCCGTGCTGGCAGGGCTCTGCAGAAAGCCTTCTCAGATGTGGCATTGACTCCCACGGACCGCTCACGGTGAAGCTCACTGGGTTCTAGTCATTCCTGGCTGCTTGCTACCATGCTGATGTCCACCTTTCGGACAAGGCTCAGCTACTCAGCTGAGAACTACAACCTGGCATTTTGACATGGCATGTAGATGGTCCTAAAATAGATTAGCCTAGCCTAGGACCCCATATCCCTGCAGGGCTATGGAAGGCTCTGGGTAGAAAAGGGAGAAAGACTGGGGATGGAGGTGGTGGGAATAGATGTGGTGGGCATGGGAGATTAGATATGTTGGGAGTGGGTAGCTTGGAAAAGCAGCTTTTCCTTTTCTCTGGCAATAATGACCTTGAGAGTTTAGGAGGTGCCATGGGAGGGGCTTTCCCTTACAGTGATGGCAAAATTACCTTTACCCAACCACAGCTGCCTCGGCTCTCAACTGGGACAAATTCCCTGTAAACAGGTGGCATAGGGACTAGGAACTGTTTGCTTCAACAAACTGAGAGTCACTTCTGTGGGCAAATAGGCAGATGAAGATGTTTCTGCTAGGAAGAGAAGTGTGCATCACCGATTTTGACCAATACAGTGACAGGGGCTATGGTCACAGGGGAGAGGGATTAGACTTGTCCCATTCTGCCCCAAGGCAAAACATTAGGGCTGGTGGGCAGAGACAGATATTGACTGAATGTAAGTCAGAGCTGTCCAGAGGGTTGAGTTTCTCTGTGGTAATGAGATCCCCATCCCGGAAGGTATTCAAGCAAAGCTTGGGGGTGTTGTTGAGAAGATTCATGTATCAGAGTATACTTTTAGATGCCCTCTAAGTTTACTGACAATGGCCCTCTGCAGCTCTCATTTTAGGACTCAAATGATAGAAGTGGGATTAACTCTTGCTTGCCTGAAGATAAATATGGCACATGCATGGGCAAGCTTCTGCCCTTTTGCCTTCTTATTCAGTCACGCTCTTCCCCAGGCCACCCCTGTAGACTTGTACCCCTTTAGAGGGGCTTGCCACCTCTCCTCTTCCCACCATTGATAAATCAGGTAAAGACATCTTTATCTGAATGGGGAGGTGGCAAGCCCCCCCCTCCCATTCACAGTGGGAAACAGGCTGGGAGGGGGTGGAAATTTGGAGGTAGGCACCCTTGGGAACTTCATTCCAAAGATCAGGCCAAGTCTAACTTGCATACTTGGCCCACCAGTCAGGGCAAAGCTTCCCCTGTCCTTCCAGTCAGGACTGTAGATAAAAAGTGACAGTCCTCTTGGCCTTCTCCATCCTTTGCCCTCCCAGCTTTGCTAAGTCTTCTATCTCCCCATCCCTGCCCCATAGCACACTCACACTATGTGGTCTCGCCACTGGAGCCAATGCTATTAGGAAGGGCTGTGGGATGGGTTTATATTCAGCCTGAAAGGCATGAAGGGTGTGTGGGGGCAGGTAGGATGAGAGAGAGTGGGCTAGACATAAGAATAGCCATCATTTATTGAGTACCTACTATGTGCCTGGCACTGAGCTAAGTATTGTATGTATATCAGCTGACTCAATCCTCAGGACAACTTCCAAAATATGCATCCTTTTCTCACTTTTACAGATGGGGAGACAAAGGTGCTGCTATACTAAGTATGTGTACGTACAAGGTAACATGCTATAAAATAGCACAGAATTCAAACGCAGGCTAGAGTGATTCCAAAGCCATCACACGGTGAGAAAGGAAAGTGGACTGGCCTCTTATAGCCCACAGACTCAGGGTGAGTGGAGGAAGGGTGACTTGAAGCCAACCTCAGAATGACCGTGGACAACATGGTAAGGATGACAGTGTTTGGAAGCAGAGGCAAAGCCTTCTCAGTAGGCACCTAACATCCCACCCTGGCCCTTGACCCTATAGCTTTATGCAAATAGCTTTGACCTCTGCTGGCCACCTTCTCATCTCTTGGCTTCTGAAAGCTGTAAAAACCTCATCTTTATCTGCTGGCCACTTGTCTCGCTGTCCCTACCCCTCCTCCTCAGACTGTGTCACACTCCAACTTCTCCAAGTTACCCTTCACTCAAGAGAGACTTTTCTCTGTTCCCATGCTCCCTCCCTTCCTCTCAGCCTCTCCATCTCTCCCATACCTTCTTCCCCTGCCGTATCTTCTCTCCCACTCCACATCCTCCTTCTCTCCTTACTTTGCAAATCCACTGCCCCTGCACTAAAATGTTCATAGGGGATGAGACCAGAACATTCAGGGAGTCATGCCTGGCACTGCATACCATTTTCTGCTTCTGGTTTTGTCATGCTTTCTCAGTGCCCAATTCAGGGGCAGGACTAGGTCTAGGGTTCCAGGATGACATCTGGCCATTCAGCTGACAAGGCCGTCCCATGGGCAGCCAGACTGAATAACAAACCTTCCCAATGCCTCCAGCCCCCAGCCCTCCTGAGCCCCCATCCTCCCTTGATGGGAGGGCAGTGGACATGGTAACCTATGAAACAGAGAGGTAAACAACTCTGGGTAGAATAGCTGAGACCCTGCTCTGGGACTTCACACCCGACCCCAATGGGGCCCAGAATAAAGAGATGCCCAAACTCACCCCATCTCTGAGCTGCAGTGAAGGAAGCAGACGCCTGCTCCTGGAAGTGGGCACACGCCCCTCTCCAGCTTGGGACTGTCCCTTGAGCATGTCCCCGTCAGGATATTTCAGCTCTCTCCTCCCTCTGCTCTCCTCCTCCTCCCAATGAGCTCATCTGTCTGGGGCTCCCCACCCCCCTTTGCCTGAAAGGATGTTTGGACAGAACCTGGCAGAAAACAGAAAAAGGGGAAGGGAGGGATGGAGGAGGTTGCTGCCTACCTGCCTGTGCCCAGAGCCCTTAGAAAGTGGAGATGGGTGAGGAGGGTTCAGGAGGAAGAGTTTTATCTTTACTCCAACTCTTTGAGGTGAGGTGGGCTGGGGAGCAACGGGTAAGGTGGCCAGTACTGGTTCCTTGCTGGACTGCTAAGCCACATGCCTGCGGGTTGGTTGGTGCATGCTGTCCTGTTAACCCCCTCAGCACCTGCCAAACTTTAGTGGATGATGCGGAGACTGTGGCTGGGGGCAAGCAGGCGCTCTGAACTAGAGGGAAAAAATGGTGAGTAGGGACCGGCAGAGTACAGACCTAGGTGCACTAGAAGGAGGCTCCCAAAAGTTAGTCCAGGTGGCATCCACCAACCCCAACCCGAAAGGCAGAAGGATTTAGGGGCATTTAACTTTAAGTTAAAGCATGCAGAGAAGCTTGGTGCCTGCAGTCCCACAGTCCTGAGGTAGGAGCCCTGTTTATAACCAGAGAGTAGCTCAGGGAAAGTGGAGAGGGGAACCAGCTCCAGGTGTTGATCCGAGGCTGGCTGGCAGAAGAGGAGCTGTGAGGTGGGGGTGTGGGGGCTCCCTGCAGAGCCTGTGTTCTCTGCCTCTAAGAGCCAAGTCAGCGCCAGTGCCACTGTTACCTGCAATGCCCCCACAGGAGCCGCGAGGGCTTATGGGGGAGGAGGGGGAGAGGGAGGCCTGCAAGGGCAATAAGGGAGACAGAGGGGAGGAGGCTCCCTGCCAGGCTCTTGTTACTTAGGAGGAACTCCTCTTAAAATAGCTCCCAGACCTCATAGGAGCGCTCCCTTCCCTTCCTCCTCTGCTGGGGGCTTGGGTGGCTTTCTGAAAACTGACAGGGATGGAACCTTCCAACTGCCTGCCCTGGTAGAAGGTGGGACCACCCCCAGAGGTGAGGGCCTTCCCATGTAAGAGCATTTCTCAGAGGCCAGGAGCTGGAGCTGTGCCTCCATTACTGCCAGTCCCACTTCCCCACAACACACCAACCCCCACCCCCATACCATCTCTCCCAGCTAGTTCCAGTTCAGCTCCCTGGAGGGCAGGAACTGAACTGAGGGGGCCACCTGGTCATGAGAGGACTGTTGGACTAATTGCTGTAAAGAACCTACATGATCCCCCCCACACACACCAAGGGGAAAACTCTCTTCCCCCTTAAATCTAGGCCCAATCTCCTCTGGCCTGAGCTCCTGACAGCTCCTTGGCATGGGCTCAATCTCTCTCTGCATCCTTGAAAAATTGCCCTTCGGGTATTTCTGAGCCAGCCCCTCACCCCTCCAGACCTGAATGTGCATTATCTTATCACCAAGAATCAAGCCTGTTGGGGCACAGCTGGGGGCTATGTCCAAGTCACCATCCCCACCCTCAAGGGACTTCCAGCAGAAGGAGGGAATGGAGCCAAGGTGTCCACCCATTTCTTACCATCCCCATTCAGATTCTGGGGCCTCTTAGGGGGTGGTAAATCAGGGAGGACTCCTCAAAGAGATGGCTTTGAAAAAGCAGGAGAGAAGGAACTCTGACCTTTTGTTGCCCTCTCCCCTGGCACCCTCAGGAGGATCCTCCAAGTTTGATCAATGGACTAGTGTTCTGAGAATTTTTGAGGAAAGTGCTCTATAAAGGTTAAAATCCTCTAGCCGCTAATGCATTTCTCAAGCACCTTTCCTTCCAGCGGTGGAGCCCTCCTGATATCTTTAGAGGAGAGCTTGGGGTTTAGAGGAGCAAGTCAGATAATGGGGAGGTTCTAATCCTGGCCTTTAGAGTCACTTTCTCTGTGACCTTGAGCCACACATTCAACTTTCTTGGGCATATTTTTTTTAATCTGTGAGGTATGTGGGTTTCCTAAGGACCCTTCCCGCTCTTAAGAATCAGTGAATAGTGAGGCCATGGGGAAGGCTGAGGGGACAGAGGAAACTGGCACCTTCTCCTGTCACCAGGATCTAAAGATATCCAGTGAGCTCTGTTCCCTCCCTTCTTCCGTCTCAGGGCAGGGGTCACTTTCCTTCCCTTTGGCTCACCTCCTGTCTTCTCTCAGCTTCCTGCTCTGAGAAACATGACCCCTGCTGTAAAAATAAAGTGGGCAGTGTGGATGCCTGGCTCTGCTGATCTAGTGTCCAGGACCACCCGGGGAAGGAGAGGGTGAGTGTGCAAACCTGGAGATGAAAAGAGGCTTAGTCGTTTTGGGCAACAGACCTCTTTGAGATATAAGAACTAAAATGTACTGTAGACTTCCCCTATGCCTATCACTCTGCTAAGTACTTTTATATGCAGTAATATCTCATTCAATCTTTACAGTCAGATGTGCTTCTGATGTTTGCGAGGCTTGGGGCAAGTGTACAAACAGAAATTGCATGTATGTCTAAATGTAAGTTATAAATCAAGATAACAAAGTGTTAAAATTTACCTACTACCCCCCACGTTCGATTAATTTTCCTTGGTCTTAATTTTAAGACCAGATCCAAAAACCATGCCCTGGTCCACTCTCCTCTGGTCCTGAGGGACAGGTGCACTCATGCATGCCTGGGAACGCTCCACCTGCAGGTCAAGTTCCATCCACTTCCCACCCCCTACAAACATCTGCCCTTTGCCCACTCCCCAGGCCTATGGGTGCACATCTGCGTGGTCTGCTCCTGGGAGGATATCCGGAGCAGGGTCTAGACGAGGAGATGCATGGACTACTCTCCGTCCTGTCCCACGAACCCTTTTTCCAATGATGAGGGGTATGGACCGAGGAGGGCCAGAATGAGGCCCTTTAAACTCAGGAGCTCAGGGCTGAGACCTCTGTTGCTCAGGTCTAAGGGTGGCATTGCTCTTAACAACCCCAGGAGGTAAATATCATTATTTTCACCATTTACAGATGAGGCAGCTGCAGAAGTTGCATAACTTGCTCAAGGTCATAGCACAATAAATGCTGGAGCCAGGATTTGACTCTCCAGCACCTGACTCCAGAGGCACTATACTGTCACAGCTATACTGAAGGAAGGCAGCAAGCCTCTCTGGAAAAAAACTAAGAGACATGCGGCATTTCCCATTCAACCTCAAGGGGTCCATGATCTCTCTGAAACCCACCAGGGACCCCAGGTTAAGAAGGTGGGTGGTGGGGAGCCATCGATGGGGCTGTAGTAGGGGTCAGGCCATGAAGTGGTAGCAGGTTTCCAAGTTAGGCTGGAAACGAATGCAGGGTCAAGAAGGCAGACAGGATCTGTGGTGGAGGGCGGGAGCTTGGATGGTTGGGAAGGGGGTGCTAAGGAGGATATCAGACATTAGCTACCAAACCAGCCCAAATAGCACCCCTCACTTTTAACTCAAGACTGTCTGGAAAAAGACTTGCTTGTTGGCAGCCTCACCTTAGCCCTTCGATCTAGCTGGCCCTAAGTCAGCAGCCCGAAAGGGAGGCCAAAGAAGCCTTCCCCGGTTCTGAGGGAGGGGAAGCTCTTGGAGAAGGATGAAAGGGGGGAGTCTGAGGGAGACATCCTCAATGGGAAAATGAGGAGTAGGGGTCGGGAGTTGGGGATGCTGGGGGGGGGGGGGTGAAAAGTGGGGTGGGGGGGGATCGGCAGCATCTGCCCTGATTTCCTAACAATGAGCACCATGATTTCCGCGGAATCTATGAAGAAATGGGAGAGGTTGGGGGGCACTGGGAGGGGGTGTGCAATTGGGAGCTCAGTTCCTTCCCACAGCCGGCTTCGCGCAGGTCCGCCCGGCAGCAGAGGGGGCAAGCCAACGCACACCCACCAGCTGCGGCCGTGCCAGCGGCAGACAGCCGACGTCCCTTCTCAGCCTCGGGAGGGGAGCCACTCACTACTCTACCCGTGTTTCCCAAAGCACAACACAGCCTTCCACACCCAAAAAGCTCCACCTCTGCTCTCCCCAAAACTATCCTCCTAATTGACAGCTCAGCGCATGGGACGATGCGGGCGGCTGCGGGCGGCCCTGCAGTGCCTAGCCGCAGCCAAGCTGGAAAGGGAGTGGGGGGCCCACCCTACTCCCCCGGGCACCGGGACCACGAGGCGGGCGCTTGGGCAGGGTACGCAGCGAGCGGGGGCGTCCTGGGCTGCCCAGCGGCCACCTCCCCTCCTGCGGCTGGAGCATTTCCAGGGCAGAGGCGCAGCGACGCTCGCCTCTGCGCTCGCTCAGCGGTCCTCCAGCTTCTCCTCCTCCTGCTCCTCGTGCTCCTCCTACTCTTCCTGGCGCCCTCAGCTGCCTCTTCTGCAGCCGGCTCCTCCTCTCCCTCCCTCCCCCTCCTCTAGCTCTCTACCCGCTAACTTTCCCGAGCCCCGGCCCGCGGCGCAGAGCTCCGCGGCAGCTTAGGGCCCACTGCAGACCGCGGACTGCCAGCGCTGCTGTGCTCTCTATCCCATCCCCGCGCCCCTGGAGCGCTCCGGAGAGAACCGAACGATGCTCGGGGCTGGGCACCGAGGCGCAGCCCGGGCGAGATGGCAGGGCATTGGGCTTTTGGGTAAGGCAGCCCCAGCTTGGTCTCTTCTGCCTCTCTCCCCTTCTCTCCCCCTCAAAAAAAAAAAATCCTTCCCCCATAGGAGAGGACACTGAGAAGAGCAGTGTCTGGGATGGGGTGGGCTTTGGAGTGCGCCACGAAACAAGCACTACTGCCACCGGCTTCTTGCCCAACGCCCGGCTCTGTTGGCTGTGCCCCCTGAGGATCGTGCACGCCCCCCGCCCCATTGGCCCGCCATCCTCGAGATTAGTTTTTTTGCTCTCTGTTCCTAGTTCCTTCAGTTTCAGTTTTCTGGAGCTGGATCTTGGGGCTGCAGCGCGGGTCTTCCTAGTTCAGAGGTTTCGGTGTGCTGGGGGTGGGGGAGGGTGTCTATGCCTTGGGTGCAGGGAATACCTGGTGGGTTGCACGTGTGATTGTTGGGACTGTGGTTTCTACCGCTGCCCAGAGCTGTTTGCAACTTGGATGCTTGTTACCCAGGCATCAGACACGCACAATGTGTGTGTGTGTGTGTGTGTGTGTGTCTGTCTGTCTGTCTGTCTGTCCCCTCCTGGACCTTTTTCTGTTTGGCTTCTCTGCCCTCTACCTCCTCCAGTGCCCACTGCCTTCCCTGCAGCTCCACACTAAGGCCTGGCAGGGGTTGGTGGGACTTGGAAGACTGGTCAAGCCCCCTTTTAGGAAGAGTCTTGTATCTCTTCTTAGGGAGGGCCTGTTTAACCTGCTCCTGATTTTTCGTTTTTGGGATGAATATGAAGACTGAGGAGACACTTCCAGAGGACACAGAAGGAACAAAGTATTAATATCTATGAATATACACACAACAGTTTTGAATGCCAAACAACAAGAGATTAGGGAACAGTATTAGTCCAGAACGTAATCTCATAAATCATAGATGGACTTCAATGTAAGCCAACTCCATCTCTGGCACCCGCACCTCTTCCTGTTTACATTGGTTAGATTTGGATTTTTGCAGCTCCCCTCATTGGGTTAGCTGCACGATGTAGGCAATTGTGCTGAAAACAGGGAGACAGAAACCCTTAAGGGCAGTCACTGCTGTTTCTGAAAATGTAAAATATATTCAGACCTGTTATGTTAGCACCTGATGATGGAGTGGGGATAGAGTATATTATTTCTTTCACTCAGGAGCAACTGATTTAGTTACACCACTAAAGCCAGATAGAAGACATTGGTGTTGTCTCTGGTACCTTTGGCACAGCTGTATGCTGGCTTCCCAGTGACCCGAATGAAGTGGGCCTCTGTGAGGCCTGAGGCTCCTCCTCATGGGCTGGGCACATTGCCGTTCTACACTAGCTCCCCCTCAGTTCATCTCACCCCATCTGCCCAGGTTCCCACTGTGACCATGGCAGGGGTAAGGGGTTCCTAGGCAATTCAAACTCACAGTCATTTAACTAGCCCACTTATCAACACTTGCTGCTGCCTGGTTGGACGGTGGATGTCAGTGCTTTGGCTGTTAGAATATTCATAGAACCAGTCTTCTGTGGGAAACCACACTGCACACTATGTGTATGTATGTCTGTTGGGGGGATAGTGGGCAGAGTCTTGGTACTTTGCTTCAGGTGGAAGCCCCCACCTCCTCTGAGGACTGTGCAACTGGTAGACCAGGTAGGGGCAGGGCCCATAGGAGCAGGTTTGGGTGAAGTCCTGAGCTACCTTAACTTCTGGGAACTCAGGAGAAAGCAGAGTAATTTGTAGGTGGGAGCCCAGCAGGCTCCAGAACTGGCCCCATCTGCTCTGCCCCCGGCTCCTCTGGTCTGCTGAGGGTTTACAACCAGGGTTCCCCTTGGACCTTGCCCAGGCCGCCACTGCTGAGCCCTCACAGTGGCGCTGCCCTGAGCTCGGGACACAGATGCTATCCTTGCTCTCAGTCTGGTGGGGAGATTGGAGATGACTGGATAGCCAACTGGAGATGCTCCCTGGCAGCCTTGATACTGGCAGGAACCTTGGAAACCATAGCACAGAAAAAGGAAGAGGAAACCACGGACCAGAGAGGGAAGGTGACTTGCCCAACTGTGCATGGCCAATTGATGGTCAAGTAGGACAGAATCCAGGTCTCTTGGGCTCTGTCATACTAACTTGCCTCCCAGTTAACCAAAGTCTGGTGAGGGGGAAGGTCAACAGGGAGTGTGCTAATAGGCTAAAGAATGAGAGAAGCTCTGGGGCATGGGCATGGAGGGATAGAAGCTTGGGGGTGGGCAAAGCTATTGTTCTCACGACTGTGGGGACGGAATGGAGTAGCAAGCTCCCAGGAGTGTCCTGTCCCTCCAGCCCCTTTCCCCATATCAAACTCAAGCTTACAGACTGAGACTAACAGTCTCCAAGGCTGTAGTATTGCAGTTGACGTTTAGGTGGGTGCCAGTCCCTTCCTAAGCATGTAACTGGTAATATATCTGTCCTGCCCACCCCTTCCTTGTTCCCTGATTTGCTTAATTGCTGTGATCTGTGTTTAATTATCACTTGTGAGGGTGCTATGTTGCACAACCCTCTTTCCCTTGGTATGTATTTATTAAGGGCTTGTTTAATGAGAAAGCAATTAAAGAGAGGGTGCTCAATCCCACTCAGAGGGAGGAAAAGGAAAAGGTAAATAAGGAGTTCATGGAGAAGAGTACAGGAAAGGGGAGAAGTGGAGGGAGAGCCCAGGTTTGAACCTGGAACCAATGATTAGCTCTTTTTCTGGAGGTGCAGGCCTGTGAGGCATCCTCAAATGTTATGACTGGCCACTGCCTGATAGGCTGAGTGATAGGCAGACCCTGGGTACAGATTCTCCCACTTTGCCCTGTTGCTGAGGGTGTGGGGATCCCTGCATAAGCCATGGGCTGCCCCTGCCAACACACCTATTTTGTGGCCTGCAAGAGGAGGGACAAACACACTGCTTGGACTTGTTTGCAAAGCTGGTTTTGTTGAGCATCTCCTGCTGTCTCAGGGGCATGCTTCTAACCCAGCAAAGCTCCTGGGAGTAGGCAGGAAGCAGGTAGGTTGCTTAGGGAGAGGGAGCTGAAATCTTTCCTTTGTCTCTGGGCCCAGGGGTTTTTGCCTGGCCCGGCCCTGCCTCCCATAGCCACTAGGGCCAGCACCCCAAGAAGAGTCTTGTCTTGCTGGCCTCAGCTCACTTTCTGCCTCTGAGCTCCAGCTTTGAGCTTATCTGACTCCCTCGGGGCCAGAGTGTATCAGCTTCCTTATTAAAGTCGGCAAAGCCCTTGGAGCTAAACTTAGAGTAGGCATCATCCTGTCCCTCTGTCCTCCTTCCATACCAGGTAGGTGTGACTGATGCTTGGATGTGAGAAAAGGTGGCAGACCGTTTCCTGTTTTGGCATTTGCCTTGGAATACCTGATGGTAGCCATTAGATTCCTGTTGGTGTGACTATTTGATAATACTATTTGCTTTATCAAGTACACTTTTACTTTAATAAACGTTGGGAGTCCTGAATCAATCCTTAAATAAAACTGCAGCACCTGGATGAAGATGGGAGCGGGCTGAAGACTTCAGAGAATGGCAAACAAAATGGCAGCTCTGAGAGTGGCCAAATGGTTAGGGACTTTTAGTGAGCAAAGGCAAAGCTTTGAGGCTCAGGACTGAATCTCACAGGCTCATCAAGAGGAGGACGTGTTCGTCAGTCCCACGATACCAGAAACAGGCCCCTGATCCCAATTACACATACACACCTTGAAATTCTAAAGAGTTTGGGATGGGGCAAAGCAAAGAAAGTCCTTCTTTAGTCAGGGAAATAGCCAGACACATGGAAATAATTACCTCCAAGAGGTGGTACAGGGTGGTAGTATAAAACAATGTGCAAATGGCCTGGAGGCATTCTTAGCTGGCACTGGTCATTAAGCTAGGGGTGCCCCGGTTACTTCCAGACTTGTGATGGGGGCCCGCTCTCTCCCCTTCCCTCCTTTCAGTCACTATCCTCCTCTACCTGCAGGGTGCCTAGGTCTGAGGGATCAACTCACTGAAGCCTTTCCTGTGCTTTATGATCTCCGATTTGGCTTTACACCCATGTGGGGAGGTAGGAAAGACAGCTATTCTGGTTTGGGGGTGGTGGTATCTCTGCCTTTCTCGAGATCAGCAGGCAGAGTGGGACCGGCCTTGTACTTGCTGACCAGTGCTCTCCTGACTTGGTCATCCCACTGAAACACAGCTCCAGGGGCCTCTAGTAGATCCACACCTACCCATGCTCTCCCCTCGCCCCTCAGCGCAGCCTCGCAGGTGAGACAGCAGGAGACAGGCTCCTGGGCTTCCCTGGGCACAAGCCACCCAGATATAGCTGGCAGGACTTTCCGACTACTGGGAGGGTGTGCAGTGGAGAGGCCAGGCTTGCCCCCCCCCCTCTCTGATGCCTTAATGGGGCTCTGGGCTTCTCCATGGGACCGTGTATGCCTTTTCTTTGTCCCTCTCAGGCTATGGTAGGAATTGGCAATGCTTCACTTTGGGAGTCTGGGAGTTCCAAGTTTATTAGAGTTAAGTCGTCCGCACAGGTGCGCACTAATCTGGTAAAAACGTGCACTGCCATTAGCCAGACCTTAAGGAAACCGTTTTCTCCTTTATTCTAGACTCCTCTTTTTCTGTTTCTATCTTTTTAAAGCAGTCAAAAAATTTCACTTTTGATGTGTATCTTTGGTGCTCTTGGATATGCCATTCTGGCTGGGGATGGGGAGTGGATTTGGCTCTGACTTGAGTTCCCCCTATCTTCCCCAGGATCCCAATTTCTAGACAGAGGTGCCAGGGAGCACTGGAGGCTGGCGCTATGGCGCTACTTGGAGCATGGGCTGGAGTCCTGAGGGAGGCCTGTAGCCAGCAGGAAGCTGCCTTCTCCTGAGAGCTTTCCTGTTACAGCTCCACACTTTGTTCCTTGGTTTGTGGGGTCAATGGGGGGTGAGAAGCGAAGTTGGGGTCTCTGACCAGAAGGCCATCTTCTAGGCTAGACAGTGGAATTCTGTGTGTGGCTCCGGCTCCTACATCTCTGGGGGGCGGTGTATGTGTGGAGGTGGAGGTGTGGGGGGTAGGGAAGGCAGAGGTGAAAGGAAAAACTGGAGTGTTAAGGAGAGCATTGTTCTCTTGGAGCCGCACTTACATAGTGTGGTGAAAAGTAGACCTACATCTGAATACCACTTATTCCACTCACCCAGTATGTGTCCTTGAGCAAGTAATCTCTGAAAGCCTATTTCTTCATTTTGTATATCGGGGTACAAATAATAACTACCTCATAGCATTAGTATGAGGATTAAATGGAACAGTGTATATAAAATGCCTGTCCTGTTTTATAGTAAATGCTGATTCACCATTTATTATGTGGCCCTGGGCAAGTTACTTAACCTCTCTAAGCCTCAATTTCATCATCTGTAAAATGAGACATTATACCTACCTTTTGATATTCTAATATAAGTTGGAGTTAATATGTATAAATCCTCTAGCACAATGGTTCTCAAAGTGTTGATCGAACTAACCACAGCATTCCCTGGGAAAATTTTAGAAATGCAAATCCTCAGGCTCCACTCTAGAGCTCTTGAATCAGAAACTCCAGAAGTGGGGCCAAGCTATCTAATTGCTCTCCAGGCGATTCTAATGCTCTCTCAAGTTTGAAAGCCACTGCTCTAGAACAATTCCTGGCACCCAGGAGCTGACCTAAGAATGAGGGATAATTGAAATAACCTCTCAGCGCTAATTGGAACCCTGGTGGGCAAACCCTGCTACATTAGGATGTAAGAAAGGGTTTTCTTGCTTTGGGGCTTTGGGATGATAGACATATCTCTTGTTGACCTTAGGCAAATCACCTAACCTCCTTCTGTTCAGTTGTCTCATCTGTAATATGGAGCTCTTCTACAATTATACATCACTCATAGTATGGGTGCAAGGATTAAATGTGCCTGGAATACAGTAAAGGCTCAATAATTACATGCAGCAGGTCCTCGAATTATGTAATTTCATTCAACATCGTTTTGAGACAACGTTGGTGAGATGGCATAGGAACTTAACTCCTGTGTATATCAATTGGCCTATGGTAAAACTGGTTTTGTTATATATCATTTGCTTGAAGTCACAGAACCTATTGACTATGTTAAGTGAGGACTTGCTATATCAGCTATTATCAACAGTGGCAGGGGTTATGATTTGTTTCCTGGACCATGGGGTGTTATTTCTGAGCTTTGAGGTAAGAGCACTCTGCCTTCAGAAGCTAAGGGGACATGAAGAAGTTGAGGGGAGCTCTGAGAGCAGGGCTGCCACCTCTCCTTGGAGCTATTTCTCTGTCTTTTTCTTTCGTTGTTGTTTTTTTAAAGTGCACCTTGCATCATTATCTCATGTGGGCAAAACAAGAGGAAACTGGTTTATGATGCACTGCGAGGGAATGAAGTCAGACAAAAGAGGTCCTTCCTTGAGAGTGAGGATTGCGAGAAAGAGCAAGGTTGGTGACTTTGAAAACAAAGACTAACCCTGGCTGTCTTGGGAACAAGAATGGTTCTGGGAATTCTCCATCAGCCCAGCCACTAAGTCAGCTCAGCCAAGTCTCCTACATTTGGGGCGTTGGTTGTCTCTAAAATGAGGCAGTGGGATGAATGGATCAGTCTGGATCCTTTAGCTCTGGAGGTCCAAGTAGTTGAGGGAAGCTGCAGTCTAGGAAGAGATGCTAAAGGGAAACTTTGAAATAGGAGGTAGCACAGCCAGGTGGCTGCTCTCAACGGCCCATGAGCCCTTGAGTCAGACCCCAGTTCAGATTTTAACTACCCCTAGAAGTTGTAAAGCTTTTGGGCAAGGCACTTGGCTCTTCTGAGCCTCACTTTCTCCATCTGTAAAATGTGATTAGTAATACCCACCTTGCAGGTATGAAGTTAAGAATGAAATGAGATTACCTACATGCAGCACTTACAAAGGATGGGAGTCCAGGAAAGGGGAGTTATTCTTGGGGTCACTGGGAACCTGAGTAGGGCCCTCATGTCCTCACCTGGGGTGACCCAAGTATCGTTTAATCTAGGGGCAAGGAGAGGTGGCATCCAATTCCAACTCCCTTCTTCCACGACCTTGAGGTACAATGGGGTTTTCTCAAGGACTTGGTAGGACAGGAGGAGGGCCAGGTCTCCTTAAAAAGACTCATGAGGTGGGTCCCAGAGGCCATGAGTGGAAACACATGGTTTGCTCCTGCTTAAAAGACAGGGATGGTATTGATGTGCTGGGAAGTGTGTGTGTGTGTGTGTGTGTGTGTGTGTGTGAAGGGTGCACTCTGGGGACTTTCCCAGAACAAGGGGCTGCAATGGGCTGTGAGGTGTGAGGGGTAGGACAGGCCTCTCTGGGTCAGGAGGGGACAGCAGGTTCTGCGCCCTCTTGGCACCATCTCCCACTTGCCTGCATTCGGGTTGTCGGGAATCTGCCTCCCTAATGTGTCTTCCTCCGGCCTCGCCCCCTGACTTTCTCTCCCTGATTGCTTTAGTCGCTCCACCCTCGCTGCCGCCCAATGCTGAGACCGGCCCCATTTCTACGCACCCACTCACCTCCTATTCCATCCCGGCCTGTCCGTTCTGTTCTTAGGTTTTCTGTTCGGTGGCCAGAGGGCCTTGGACTCAGATGGCCAAGCAAGGTCCATCTGAAGTGTCCCGCTGCCTCTCCACCCCTCGGCGCCGGTAGGGTCCTCCAGAGTTAGGCGATGACAGCTGCGGGGCAGTGTCAGGGGACTGGGGCTGCACTTCTCTCTTCTTCACCGTATGGAACCCGCTCCGTGCCCCCCTCAGCCCCCGCCAACCCCGAAAACGTAACGAGGAGACCGCTGTCCTAGGGGAAATTCCCACGGCAAATCGAAGGAGCCCGGCCTGCACTTGGGGTGGGGCAGGGATGGCATTTTCAGGAACTGCGCCCGCGGGATAGGGGGGCGCGGACTGTCCGCACCCTGGCAAGGGCCTCGTTTTCTTGGGTTGGGATGACCCCTGGTGGTCATTCAGAGTGCCACAAGGGCTGCTAACTGACCCAGAATTCAATCCTGCCTAGGCCAATGAGGAAGAAATGGAGAATTATGGTGGGTGGCCTAGGTAGTGTCAATTGAAACAGAGAGCCATCTTCCTGAAGTTAACACTGAGGGTGACCTTCCAGAGCCCCAGCCTGGAGGTTCTGGAGGGGTTTTATTAAGGGAAGTGGTGCTCCCTCACACAGGTCTCTTCCTGCTTCCTGTGTCCCTATCGCTGGAGGTGTCCGTGGGAAAAGCCAGCACCATCTATGCTGTCAACAGCACGGAAATCCTGCTGCCCTGCACCTTCTCCAGCTGCTTTGGCTTCCGTGACCTTAGCTTCTGGTGGTCCTACAACGGTAGTGAAACATTCAAGATTGTAAGTAGTGGGGGAAGGGACAGGACCGGTCAGATCCTCTTCCCTTCCCCGTTGCTTCACCCCTGCCTTCATCCCAGACTGTGGTCCCTTCTGAACTGACCCCACTGTGATGGTCCCAGAACACACCTTTTGTCATCCTTTCTCCCAGTATTCTTTGCAGAGCCTACCTAGAAAGATCTAAGTGGGCGGGATGCTTGGATCATGTTACTAGAACTTGGGACCTGTTGGAATTCTTGGCTAGAGTCCTCTGTCTGATCTGAAGCAATACCTGAAACTTGGATGGCTTGTGTAAAAAACACTAATTTAATTTAAAAAAAACAGGAAAGAGAAGGACCTTTGGAAGGCTTGGAGAGAGGGAATGAGAAGAGTCCACACGACTGAAGGGCTGTGGAACCAGACTTGGAAAGAAGGGAAAGGAAGCTGAGAAGAAAATGAGATCTGCAGGAGCATTAACAGGGCTGTGGGTGGGGCTGGGTCAATCAACAGGTGTTTACTGAAGACTCACTCTGCAATCTAGTAGGGGACCCGAGACGAACACATGGGAAACCACGAGTGACCAACTCTGGATATGATTAAATGCTGAATTCAGAGAGTGGTGACAGACAGTGCTGTAGAAATGATGCAGGTCTTGATGGAGGGCCAGAATTCAGATGGACAGGGGATGCATGTCAGCAAGGGATGGGGTAGTGACGGAGGGAAACGAATGTGGTATTGGCAGGAGTCATAAAAGGCTTTTATGAAGAAAGCAGTCAGAGCTGTGCTACATCCCAGGGAGACTTCAATAAAAGAACATGGGTTTGGCCTGAAGCAAACAGAATTTGGGTTAGACAGGCAGAGTTATCGACACTGGAAGGAAAGCAAGAGGGAGGGGAGCACCTCTGACTGCAGGCTCTTCCTGGACCAGGACAGGGCAGGCACCCCCGGAGAGGGCTGGAGTGATGTCATGACCCTTGAAGACCCTGATTTCCTTGTCCACCTCCTCTCCCTCCATTCCTCTCCCAGCTCATAATTGGGTCTGTGAAGAATGAGAAGTCTGACCCCAGGGTGCATTTGAAAAACGATGACCGCATCACTCTGGAGGGCTCCACTAAGGAGAAGATGAACAACATTTCCATTCTGCTGAAGGACCTGGAATTCAGTGACACAGGCAAATACACCTGTCATGTGAAGAACCCCAAGGAGAAAGATCTTCAGCACCAGGCCACCATCTTCCTCCAAGTGGTTGATAAACGTATGCAGTGGGGGCTGAGACAAGGGCAGTGGAGTGGGAAGGACTGGGTGGGGGCGGGGGCAGGCGGTTACTCCACTCAGTGTTACCATGAAATGGTAAAATGGACCACACAGGTGTTTTCTTTCACTCTATGCTTTTAATAGTTACTGGAGTTACATGTGGAAGCTCAGAACTTAGCTTGAACACTTCTTCTGCCACTGACTAGCTTGTAAAAGACACTTAGCCTCTCTGAGCCTCATTATTGTCATCTGTAAAATGGTAATATGGCTGCATTCTCCTAGGGTTGTTGTGAGAGTTAGAGAAGCTCCATGGGAGGATTTCGTGACAAGGAAATCGCTCTCTGTGCATGCGGATTATTATTACTCTTCCGTATTCCTTTAGCAAAAGTTGATTGAATGCCAGGTATTATACCAAAAGGTGCTATAAATGCTACACATTGTTCTTATTTGAAGGATTTACAGTTCAGGGTAGGACAGAAGATAGGTAGCTAAATAACTGAAGTAGATAGAGGCAGAGCAAGACATATAGGCAACATCTGGAGCTTAAATCCCAGTCGAGCATTCCAATCCGACACAGTGAGGGAGCATGTAATGAGGAGCCAGGTGGTCACATGACTCCACACACTGCCGGTGGCTAGGGGAGGGGCTGGAGGAGTTAGGCAGGGCTTCAAGGAGGAGGAGCCTGGAAGGCTAGGGTAGTATAGAAGCAGAGAAAAAGGAAAGGGAAGTCGCTCAAGGGTCCTGATTGTGCTGCATTTCATGTGTGCCTGGGGTCATTGCTCTCCAGGATGACATAGAATGCCTAGAGCAGGAGAGGCCCATGAGTTCAATGTTGGCTGGGCCACGGACAGAGCCAGAGGTCATCAGGTAGCTTGTTCGGAGCCTGGAGTCATCTGAATCAAGTCTGCATATGGCATCACTTCTTCCTCTGTGTGTGGCTATCACTCTACTTTGTGCTCAGCCTTTTCAGGAGGGAAGAGAAGGGAAGGGAACCAACATTTGTGGAGTATTTCTGGGTGCCAGGCACTAAGTTAGATGCTCTCACTTACCTTCGTTCTTTTGCTCCTCGCATATCTCTTTAAGCTGACCTCTCCGTTTTCAGATTCATTCATCCATCTATTCAAAAAATATTTATTGAGCACCTACTATGTGGCATCCATTGTTCTAGGTGCTGAGGATACACATGAACAAGGTAGACAAGTTCTTTCCCTTTTGGAGATTGGAGGAGATATATAGAAAACATAATAAGAAGAAAATTACATTGTATAAGAGAACACGGTTAGTGTTATGGAGCAAAAGTAAAATGGGGAAGGAAAGATGGGGTGTTAGCAGGATCACTAGGGAAGGCCCCACTGGAAAAGGTGACATAGAGTGAGGACACTTGAAGGAGGTGAGAGAGGAAGCTGTGAGGATGTCTTGGGGAAGATAGTCCAGGCATAAGGAACTGCAAGTGCAAAGGCCCTGAGGCAGATGCTTGAAGAACAATAAGGAGGCCAGTGTGGCTGAAACAGGGTAATAAGATATGAATCAGGTTAAGTGAGATTGTGTGGAGCCTTATAAGCCTGAGTGAGATGGGAGCCAAGGAAGGGCTCTGAGCAGAAGAGTTAATGCTGGAACAGGCTCTCTGGCTGCTGTGCCAACAATAGACAATGGAGTGAGGAGGCCAGTTAGGAGGCTACAACAAATATCCAAGCAAGAGATGTTTTGGGCCAGAGTGGTGGTGAGAGGTCAGATTTGGAATTTGTTGAAGTTAGGGCCAACAGGATTCTCAGGTGGATCGGATATGGGGTTTGAGAAAAAGAGAGGAGTCAAGGATGACCCAAAGGATTTTGGTCAGAACAACTAGAAGGATACTAGAAGGATGGAGTTTGGTTTTATTTTTTTTTTAAAGATTTTTATTGGGGAATTGGGGGAAGGGGAACAGACAAGATGCTATCCCTTTGCTCTTCTGTCTAGTTGTGGAGGACGTTGCTTCACTGGCCCAAGTTGGCACCATCATTTTGCTCTTCCCAGGAGAGGCAGATCAGTCGCCGGCTTCTGGACAGCCGCTCACAGTGGCTCCTGGCCGCTCACGCTGGCTCCTGGCCGCTCATGGTAGCCCATGGCAACCCACCTGCTATCGCCAGCGACTCACGGCAGCCCAGCTCCAGGTTGAACTGTTGTTCAGCATCTTAGCTGTGGAGGGCAGTGTCACTGGCCCTCATATGTGGGATCCGAACCGGGGCCCTCTGGCATCCCAAGCCAGCTCTTAACCACCGCGCCACTTGGCCGGCCCTGGAGTTTGTTGACTAGAGATGGGAGAGACAATGGGTGGAGGAGGTTTGTGAAGAAGTCAGTTCAGTTTTCAGATGAGGAAGCAGGATAGAAGGGTTAAAGGACCTGCTCAAAGTTACCAGCTTGTTAGTGACCGCTGAAATCTTGAAGTTAAAACCCAGACTATCAGATTCCAAAGTCTTCCTATCACATGAGAGATATCATAGGGCATCTTAATTTTTTCTGCACAGGCAAAGGAGACCTAGAAAGAAGCAATGATATTCTCATGTGGCAATTTGGGGATGCAGTCATGACTCAAACCTGAGAGTTGTGGGCTCTGAGTCTGAATTATTTTAGAACTCGTGTGTGTGTCTGTGAGAGGGTGTGTGTGGGGAAGAAGGGCCCCTTTGTGTAGTACCTTAGCCTGGTGGGTGCCATGTTCCAGCTTCTGCTTCTAGCTGTACGGCCTGGGGAGGGGTGGGGGCCTGGGGAGGACATGTCCCAGATGCTGGGGTTGGAGGCTACGTAGACCTTAGGCTGCCATGGTGCTTGGCTCCAGGTGACTCCTCCTCTCCTTGTCCACCCCCTTCTCTCCCTGCTCTGGCCACGCAGTGGAAGAAGTGGACAACACAGTGACGCTCATCATCCTGGCTGTTGTGGGCGGGGTCATTGGGCTCCTCGTCTTCATCCTGCTGGTCAAGAAGCTCATCACCTTCATCCTCAAGAAGACTCAGGAGAAAAAGTGAGTTGACTCCACAACACTCTTCTATTCTCCCACCAGCCCATCACCCATTCTCATCTTGTGGGTGTTCCCAGAATCCTCTTATTTCACCATCATCTTCCCCCATCAGCCTTCCTCCTTCCAGCCATCTCCTCACCTTATCCTGTCTTCCGAATCCTACCACTCCCTTTCCTGTCCCTGCAACCCTCCTCTCCTCTCCTCTCATTTCCTCTCCCCCCACCTCCCAATAGGTATTCATTGAACACATTGAATTCATTGAGTATAAATGCAATCCACTTGCCCTTGCTCATCCCACTGTCTCCCTGCCCTTCCCATAGCCTCTCTCTCTTTCTACTTGGACCGCCTCAACCTAAAGTTCTACGAAAGGATTTAGGAAGTCTTTTCAGAAAAAATATAAGATTCCATATACAGAAACTCTAAAATGGGAAGACCCTTCTAGGGAGATAGGAGTCTTTTATTGTGAAATTCTGAAAATTCAAATGGGAGAGATAAAAAAGATTTTAAAAAGCTGATATAGCCTCCAAGGAAGCCCTAGGATAAATTCAGGTATAAAAATAGACATCTATAAGGGGAAGGGGAGGGAAGATGGGGAGGTACAGAGGATGCAAGCCCCAGGTCCAGAATTGCCAGAACAGGCAGACTCCTAAGCAGCAGATGGGACTGTCACAAAACCAGAGCAGGAAAATGGCATTGCAAGTTGAGTTCTAAGCAAGAAAGATGAGATGAGGCAGGCCTGCATTGGAGCAGAGAGGTGACAGTAACAGGGAGATGCATGAGAGAAAGGAGAACCGCTCTGTTTCCGTTTGCTTCATTCTGCTTTGTTGAGAAGAGGGAATTAGGCTGGAAAAGGCAGAAATTATACTGGTAAGAGGGGAAGGAGGCTGAAGGCAGGAGTGGGGGGGGATGTTAAGGGTGTTGGGGGGTGGGGAGCGGGGAACCATTGGGAACTTCATCCCAGCCACTGGCTGAGATGAACTCTTGGGTTGTCTCCTTGCATCACAGCCAGAGGCTGTGAGGGGTATGGAGACCTTCGGGAGGGCCAGAAGCATGGGGCAGGACCAAATTCTGTTTTTAATAACCAGTATTACTATTGATGGTAAGCAAAATTGGAGAACAACATGTGGTTTAAAAGCAGTTAGAAAAGAAAATAGTGATTCTTGGGCACCATCATGGGCTCAATGAAAACAAGGCAGGCTAAATGTTTTTTCTCTAGGACACTGGTGGGTCAGGAGACTGCTACAGATAATAACACTTCATGTCAGTTATCGAATGCTTACTATGTGTCTCCAGGCATTTTTATATAATATCCATAATTTTTATTTTACAGTAGAGCAAAAGTGAGGCTCAGAATGGTTAAATGACTTGCCCAAGGCCACACAGCTAGTAAGTGATAGAGCTGGGGTTTGAACGCTGGATTGTTTGGCTTCAAAGCTTACATCATTGCCACCATACGCTACTGATTCATGGGGGTATATCGAGAGTTTATTCTTTCATTTGGTGGCTATTTTTGAGGTACTGTGTGTGAGGCACTGTGCTAGGTGCTATAGGAAATGCTGGAAAAACATGACGTTCTGCCTTTTGGTAAAGGGTGTGTACACAGATTAATGTAATACAAAGTAGAGGGGATCAGTGCCAGCAAAGAAGTGTGACAGAATGCTGCAGCAGTTCAGAAGAGGGCAGAATACCAGGGAAGGATTTTTGGCCAAAGGGATGTTTGTTGTAGGCCATGCAGGATGACATAATTTAAGCCCTGGGGAGGGTGAAGAGAAGGGTGTTCCAGGTGGAAGAACCACTGAGAGGAAAGGCAGAAAGTCTGGGAAGTGGGCATGTGTCTGGAGAACAAGGCATTTTGTTTGTTGAGAGAGTGGAGGGTGGGGAGTTGGTAGACAGGAAGGGGAGAATAAGCCTGCAAAGGAGGTTGGGGACAGACACTTAGGGATCTGGGAGCCCAGGCTGAGGTTGGCTTTCTTTCTGACTGCAGGGGACCTGGTGAGGGCTTGCAGGGCCTGGCATGATCAGAGGCCTTCAGAAGAAAGGGTCTGGCCATAGTGGGCAAAGAGCCTGAGTGGGGAGAGTCTGGAGGCAAGAGACAGGCCCCAGGGAAGTGCAAGAAGGGTCCTCTGAGTGGTGAGGAAAGCCTATATTAACAGCAGAGATGGGGTGGCCTCCTGAGAAGAAGGAAGGTGTTGGACAACATCTCATCATTAATTCTGGGTTTTCATATATGGGGGTGCTTCCCTCTGCCTAAAATGCCTCCTCCCTCTTTTCCTGCTCATCTTCTTTGGTCTCATCTTAAATGACCCTTCCCTGACCCCTAGAAGGAGCCTTCCTAGGTTGAGTCCCTCCTTGGTACACCCCCATCCTATCATTTACAAAATTGTATCATAGTCACTTGTT